GTGGCAGACTGTCTAATTTAGAGTACACAGAAGACATCGTGTTATAAGGTGAAGATTATTGTAGCCGATAACCTGAAACGAAAGACAGTTACAAGTGCTAGCGATAAACTGCTTTCCTGCGCTCGTACGTGAGCGACGGCCGATGCAATTTAATTTGGCTTAGAGCTGCCTTGTGATTGCTTTCCTAGTTCCTGTTGGACATTGTATTAGTTTCCCGATTGTTCGAGTCCGCCATGGGGATTCACGGGGATTGACGGGCTTGGGAACCATCCACTGACTACTGCCGCTACAATCGAAGTTTTTTGAGTGACTCGGGTCCTGGTGGTAAGTATGCTGCTCGGTGACGGACGGAAGTCCTCGGAGTAGTTGCCTGTTACTCGGTATCCGATTGTGTCTGAAACGAGAGACAGTTAGGAGTGCTACCGTTCAACTGTTTTCCTGCGCTCATACGTAAGCGATAGTCAACACCACATGAACGAGGTTCATGAAGCACTGGCCGCCACACGTTTCGCAGTGTTCCAATGACGCTCACCGTTACAAACACCGCTCTAGACAGCCAGGACGCACAACCAAACCGTGCAATCATTCCTACAGCAGTCGGGGTAAAAGAGACAGGAAAAGCAGTGCGTTGACAGAACCGCATCTACAGCTTACTTGGCACTGGACTGGCAGGTTGCTCCAGGGCTACATAACTCGGCCGCTCCGACCAGGATTTTGGTGTAAATGAATGCAGTGTGAGGGTGTGTCCGGATGCATGAGTGCTATGTGCAGTTAGGGAGGAAGTATCCCTGTGCCCTTACCCGAATCTGGTCTTCGACTGCGAGTGATTAACCGAGAGAGATTCTCCCGCCGAACCACATGTACGTTTCATTCCTCTTTTTGAATTCTTTCTTTATCTGTTTTCTTTCATTTATTTCGTTTTTTTCTTTTTCTCATTTGTCTCCTTCCTTAATCGGTTGATGGGACAACTAGCTGTTTTGACGGCTTCTGCGGTTGGGGCCTGACGGGTACCCTTCTTTTTTGATTTCTCATTATTACCGCGTTCAATACCATGGGGGCGTTGGGAGCCGACTCGAGTTTATCCTATTATCAGTCACTCACTTTCGAGTGTTCCTCGCATTAGGTGCATATTTGACGTTTCATACTGTTGTACATTTTATAATATATTCTTAATCTAGCATTGAAGAATATGGGACATCAATCACGTTTTGCTTAGGGATTCGAATAGAATTGGACTTCATGTCACTCAATTGCGATTTGGTAGACGGACACCGAACAGTGTTACGCATGAATACTGTCCCCAAGGCACTTCGTACACGACAAAGGCCCAGGCTAGAAAAGCCTGACTTATTACGTAAATCGTCTGAACCAAAAAACGGACAACGCACTTCGGAATAGAGCCCAAGTGCTACTCAGTCTGTAGCGACTCTCCTTTGTCACTTGTGTTTTACGTCAAGTTCCTGTTTTACTGAACGTTGACGCAAATTGTCTCCACACACTTCTACCTTGGTCGTTCAGCGCACCGTGCGACGCCACTGTATTTTACGTTCAGGGTTCAGATCTTGTAATCTGCCTTCTATTTCGTTTACGTTGGCCGTTGAGATCGCCTGGTCTTATTGGGCAATCGTTGCGGCTCGTAGGGTGTATCCTGGGTCTATAAAATCCTTGAGACGAGCAATCAGAGCCACACGTGGAAGGAGTCGGTGCTTCCTCAAAAGTCCCTTAAAGGAGGAGATACGACTATCAACCCGATTCTTGTGGTTTCTACAAAATGATACATCCTCTTCCTTGATGATCGGCAAGATAACCGGTTTACGTCATTCCTCTGAAACTTGCTCACTTTTATCGGCGATGCCAAGTAAACAATCAAATTATCCCGCAGACTTCGGACCTTATTATGGCTAGTTCTCATATTACCAGAATCCGCTATCGCTTACCCACATGGGTCGTTACTCTAGGCGTGGCCAAAAAGCCGCTGTAAATCACTGGACAGTAGAACAGTGTACTTTGATGGAAGATTACATATTAACCCTCAACGGTCCTATATATGAAGCATAGGACTTGCTGTGTAGTCTCGCCTACTCTCAAAAACATACGGAGTAACTCGAACAGGTCCCATAGATGGGGCTTGACAGCCTTAATAGTCAAGAAATCTGGTGATAGAAATGTGACAAGACAATTGATGAGAACACATGGGAGAGAGATGCCACGACATTTCGGATACGAGAGACAGGAAACCCGCATGAAACAATGGCACTCATGAAGATTTCACAGCACATCAACTGGCGAAAGTTACGTGGTTTCATGGACGTCACGTGGAGTGGAGAGTAAGATGCGTGGGACAATCCTAAGGTCACACGGAACCAAACCCGAGCAAGACCGGGTACTACCACTTTGTCAGGAGTAATTTGGCCTGACCTGGCGAACAAAAATGATTGGCCAACCATCGCGAGTAGTGTGACGTAGACTTAAGACCTTGTACCTCCTGTTACATTTCCCGATGAACGAAATCCCAAGTAGTGTTCTAGAAAACTGCCGTACTTCCGGAGTGGAGCTACTTCGAAGTGAAGTCTTGCAACATGCGGTAATAAGCTGCGCCCGCTCTGAAACTAATGGGTACCACTAGGGAATTTTGGGTTGCATAACCCCAACATTAACACCAGGGGTAAACTCACACCCAAAGTTAATGTAGTTCGTCAATTGCCGCCTACTTGTGATCCGTCTATTCTTGAAATACAGGGCTTACAATGCCACCGAACGGGCGCTATCACTCTATCGCTACTCCAGTTGGCTCATTCATGTTTTAGCTAAACAAACGGACTTCCGGCAAGGAAGCGTTCGCTATCTCGCCTCAACACGACAACAATGAACCGTCAAGGACAAGGTTTGTTGAAGAATCGTCTCAACCAACCTAGAACTGAATGGTACGATCTAGAACACAAATACTCGGCGATGTGGAAGCGTGCTATGCATACCGGTTCAGCGACTGTCCTTTTTATTACACAACTATGGTGAACAGTAGACGGGGTGGACCACATGGTCACGAAGACCTGCTGGTCAGCGATGATAACCGGCAAGTTGTCCCCGGACTTGGAGGTCCCGCTAGATTTAGCGTGGAATTGAATCGGACGACAGCAAGGCTGCCTACCACCAAAGTTGTGGCGGGGGCGGGGCTCTAACCCCTTGTAGTAAGGTTGCCCACACTGATATTGACTGGAATCGCCGACAAGTTGGACAACGATTGACCTGGATATAAATTTGGAAGACACTCACCCCAGAACTGGCGGCCGTAGACCGCTAGTTCGTTCGGCAGTACCTTGAAGATCGAGCTCTGACTCCAATCTGGTTAGCGCTAAGTATTCTGCAGATGGCCACTACAATTATACAATACAACAAGAAGCAACGTTCCTTGATGCCTCTAAGATAACAATTTACTCTTGTTAAACCGGTCGCCGGCCTGATATGGGCGGGTCCATATGAAACGCTAACACGAACAAAGCGAGAAAATTGATGTGGAATGACCGGTATGGGGAATACAAGACTGATCAGAGCAGTCATCGCAGTGACTGTGTTTATGGAGAGATTGTTATTAAGGTCCTCGGGGCCCTAGAATACAAGCCGATAAGTGAGTCAATACCGTGAAGAGATACATGTGGAGAACAATTCAAAACATGCACTCCACCACAATGATATTCACTTGATCATTCAACTGAGTCGTGTGACGACACGCAAAAGCAATCTCCATTCCTCCACTGCACATTCACGAAACTAACCGTAATGCTCATGAGACATTACAAAAACTACTGGTCTAGCACAAAACGCCCGTACCCCAAGTTGTCACGCATCACACTGCTCTTCCGATTCCCGTTGTGATTACGGCTCTTGTTAGTTGCTAGTTCTCACACTGGTCTGGTGCAAGTCCCTGCGGTAATGGAATGTCTACAGTATGAGTATCAATGCGTGATTTACCGGCCAATACATCTAGAATTTTCCAGCGAGATCGGGTAGCTCAACGAGACCACCATCTATCTGCTATTACACGCAAACGTTTACAAAAAGAACATCCACACAAGAACAACTGTGTAGCCATAACAAAATATCTGGTGATCCACTACGGAATTTTAGTTATTTGTGACAAATACTTGCGGAGACCGCTGGATAACACTTGAAACACCATAATCCACAGAAAAACGTCACGGATACTGCACAGCTACATACAGCCTAACGAATATCTCCGATGAATCAGCCGGGGGACTGGGAGCACATCACTCACCAACGATAATCTCAGAAAACATACATCTCAACGATTCAGGAAATTACGTCAACGTAACGCTATCGGTAAATCCGGAATGTTGAAGCCAGTGATGCTACGTACACGCTATCGGACCACAAGTTAGGGCTGCAGTTTCGCCAGTCGTTCTGTGGTACACACGACAAACACCGATAAGCGGGAATCAACCAACGCAAGCTATGCAGGCATTATTGCCGAATGATTTTATAGCTCCGTTGCATCCATAGTGACGGGTAAAGGAAAATTATTTACGCTGTAAGCACAGTAGAGCGTTCATCTCATGACGAACTACAGGCACCCAGCTTAGAAACGGCTATCAACCTCGTCTATCGAAATATTTACGAGCACGTTTCAGTCAATTATTAACCTCCAAAGAAACCAACGCGATTGACAGAGAATAAAAGCTTCAGTGACGCAGACATGGCATTTTAAGAGGTGAACCACCGAGAAGCTTCTGATAGATGAGAAACCAATCCAAAACGCATAGCTAAAACCTGAGAAAGTGCATCTTAAAAATCAGTTATCATCAAAATCAAAAGGTCCCCAAGGCACTTTACCCTGCTTTATTCACGAGTCCCTTAGTTTTTCGAAAAGTTGGCCGTACGTACGGAACACTATGAGTGGACGCGGTAGGGGTACAGGCAAGCTTAGAACGGTTACTAATGAACATTGAGAAGTGGGTTCGATCTACCAGAATAAATTGTTGTATTTAGTATCCAGTAGAAGTCAACTGCCACACTCTGATTACATTGTCCGTATAGCCAGCGAAGAGCGTTTGACCGTCGGCGGACCACGCGAGACAAGTACAATCAGGTGTTACTTGCTTTCCACCGGTCATCGCAGATACCAATTCAGGTTTCAGCTCGTCAGCCAAAACTTTACTCTCCAAATCCCAAATTTTGATGCTCGGACCCACCGCAGCGCACAACCAGTACCGGTTGGGAGAGAAACATAAGGCATTTATAATGCCACCGCTATTCAGTGTGTACAAGAATTTCTGGTTCGTCAAATCCCAAAGCATGGCTTGACCATCTTTTCCACCACTTCCGCACAAAGATCCATCCGGGGAAACCGTAACTGTGTTCAGGTAACCCGTATGGCCCACGTGTGTGGTCCGCAGGTTGCAGTTTGTCAAACTCCAGACCTGAAACAGTGCATCATGTGCGACAGAAACATACCTTCACTTTCTTGTCCCAACCGCAAGTCACGACGATAGGATTTTCGGTGTTCGGTGAGAAGCGCACACACGAGACCCAGTCAGTGTGGCCAGATTCCTCAAAGGTGAACTTGCAATGACCAAGGGTGTTCCATAATCGGGCAGTTTTATCGCGCGATCCACTTACAATTTGCCGATTATCAGCACTAAAAGCCACACTCAGCACATCACCAGTATGCCCGGAGAAGCGCCGCGTTGTCTTACCGGTTTGTAAATCCCACAGTCGGAGAGTGTGATCCCACGACCCGGAAAGTGCGAATTGTCCATCGGAAGACATAACTATGTCACTAACAAAATGGTTATGACCATGCAGTGCTCTCTGAGCAATACCACAATCTCCATAGTCTCGGCGTAGGTCCCAGACGATCAAGGTTTTATCTAGCAGCATAAATTGAATTTATCGTGAACTTACCACGCGAAGAGGACAACAACAAATCGGGTTGAGAGGGAGTGGTTGCGATTTGTGTCACCCAACCTCTATGACCGGTCAGAGTACCGCGCAAAATTAGCTGTTCGGTCATTTTCAATCAGCGTTCACACACGCGCAGCGCCGGTAATTTTCGCGCCAAAGTGAGGGGTAAAACAAAAGCACACACATGTCAGATTCGGTCAAGTTAAGTCACTAGACTCAATTTTCTTGCATTATTAGGCTTGATCGCTCGCTTTGCGTCAATTTCTGGAGCATGAGGTTTATTTTACAAAAATCGCCCAGACTATACATTACCAAATCCTGAGAGACAAAATTGTCCGACAATTAGAGGCAAACAACCGGCTGATCGCGTATCAGCACGGCTTTTTTGCACACACAAACACCAACATAGATGTGTATTTGTTGACTCGATGGCCGATGCAATTTAATTTGGCTTAGAGCTGCCTTGTGATTGCTTTCCTAGTTCCTGTTGGACATTGTATTAGTTTCCCGATTGTTCGAGTCCGCCATGGGGATTCACGGGGATTGACGGGCTTGGGAACCATCCACTGACTACTGCCGCTACAATCGAAGTTTTTTGAGTGACTCGGGTCCTGGTGGTAAGTATGCTGCTCGGTGACGGACGGAAGTCCTCGGAGTAGTTGCCTGTTACTCGGTATCCGATTGTGTCTGAAACGAGAGACAGTTAGGAGTGCTACCGTTCAACTGTTTTCCTGCGCTCATACGTAAGCGATAGTCAACACCACATGAACGAGGTTCATGAAGCACTGGCCGCCACACGTTTCGCAGTGTTCCAATGACGCTCACCGTTACAAACACCGCTCTAGACAGCCAGGACGCACAACCAAACCGTGCAATCATTCCTACAGCAGTCGGGGTAAAAGAGACAGGAAAAGCAGTGCGTTGACAGAACCGCATCTACAGCTTACTTGGCACTGGACTGGCAGGTTGCTCCAGGGCTACATAACTCGGCCGCTCCGACCAGGATTTTGGTGTAAATGAATGCAGTGTGAGGGTGTGTCCGGATGCATGAGTGCTATGTGCAGTTAGGGAGGAAGTATCCCTGTGCCCTTACCCGAATCTGGTCTTCGACTGCGAGTGATTAACCGAGAGAGATTCTCCCGCCGAACCACATGTACGTTTCATTCCTCTTTTTGAATTCTTTCTTTATCTGTTTTCTTTCATTTATTTCGTTTTTTTCTTTTTCTCATTTGTCTCCTTCCTTAATCGGTTGATGGGACAACTAGCTGTTT